CAACATCTCAAATTAGAGAAAAGCACTTGGAACTTTTCAAGTCTTAAATTAATCTTTAATAAAGTTAGAGAGGCTTGTATTCTATGGTCAATAGGTTGGCTTAGTTAAAATTTTTCTGTTTTTGTAAAATATCTTTTTTAGTCTATTTTTTATATTTCTCTAACAAAATTCCCATAAATAAAATAAGAATTTATTCTTACCATCTCTCTAACTAAAAATTATTTTTCTTTTTTGTGTAAGAGTCCAAACTGTTTTACAGCTGGCCAAAATAGTTTTCAGGTTTTTTGTTGGGATTTTTAAAAGTTGTGGTAAAAATGCACGTAACATAAAATTTACCACTGTCACCATCTTGCAGTGTCCAATCAGTGGCATGAAGGACGCTCACAACATTGTGCAACTATCAGCACTGTCCAGCTCCAGAGCTTTCATCATCCCAAATGGAAACCCCGTGCACGTTAAGTACTCCCGCTCCTCCAGGCCCTGGAAACCATTAATCTGCTTTCTGTCTCTGGATTTACCTATTCTGGACATATCATGTGAATGGAATCCTACAGTATGTGGCCTTTTGTGTCTGTCTCCTTTCAGTTAGTGTGTTTTCAGATCATCTGTGTCGTGGCACGCATGTTTACGTGCTGATGGGCATTTAAGCTGTTTCCACCTTCTGCCTCTCATGAGCAGAGCTGCAGTGAACAGCCGTGTCCACATTTTTGTGTGAGTACCTGTCTCCAGCTCTCTGGGGTGTATCCCTAGAAGTGGAATTCTGGGCACATGGTAATTCTGTGTTTTACTTATTCAGGGACCACCAAACTGTTTTCCACAATGACTGCACCATTTTACATTTCCGCCAGCAGTGAGTGAGGGTTCCAGTCTTCCCACACACTCTACAACACTTTTTATTTCCTGTTGTTTTTTAAAGTTATTATGATCACTATTGTTACTATTGCCACGCTAGTGGTTGTGAAGCGATATCTCACTGTGGTTTCACGTGCTTATTGACCACTTTTATATCTTCTTTGGGGATATCTGCAGTCAAATCTTTGACCATTTTCTAATTGGGCTGTTTGGTTTTGTTATTGAGTTGTCAGAGTTCTTTATATATTCTGCATACTAACCCTTATCAAATATATAATTTGCAACTATTTTCTCCCATTCTGTAGGTTTTCTTTGAACTCTCTTCATAATGTCCTTTGGTGGATAAAAGTTTTTAATTTTTGCGAAGTCCACTTTATTTACATGTTTATTTTGTTGCTTGTGCTTTTGGCATATTTAAGAAACCATTGCCAAATCTAAGGTCATGAAGATTT